TCACGGACGTATGAATACGCCACTGTCGGATCATAAACAACTATCTCTCGCAACCCTGACCAGTAGGTTTCCACTCTGGCCCTGGAAGGGAAAAGATGCATTATGTTTAAGACTCGTCAACATTCACAGCTCGCCCATAGGTAGGTTTCCACTCCTATGGTTGATCTGCTCTTCTCAAACTAGATCCAGCCCCGGATGAATACTTTCGCAACACCAAGGACCTAGATCAGTCTCTAGTTCGCGACGCTAGATCCATGCTTTAAGTATAAGTTTAGAAGAAAGATTTCTAGAATTCGGCTTTGGTTTATCTCGCGAAGATCCTTATCGAACATAGTCGATTCCCTTCGATCGAGCCTTTAAACTCATACCTCATCATTCCAAAACGTGCATAAAGTAAATAGAAGAGACGTGCATAGATTAATAAGAAGAAAGAAGTAGAGAAAAACAGACAAGGAGATGAAGAAGAAGCATCTCGATTTCGAGATCTAAGCTCGGAGAAAACTTCTCTTCAAATCCTTTAAACAACTAATCTAATATGAAGAAGATAAAAACGAAATTGAAAGATGCATAACAGTAAAAACCGAATTAAGATAAAGGTAGAACATAAAGAGGGTTCAAGAGAAATCTCTATCTCCCTAAACTAAGAACTAAGAACATAAGAACATAAAAACCCTAAAAAAACTAAATTTGGTGGCTTCCAAAAGGGATTCTTCTGAGGCACACGAAAATAGGTCTCCTTAGACACATATTTATAGGTCTTGAACTCTCTCCAGTCGTCCTTAGGGTTTCCAATGAAGAAAAGACGAATTGGGCTTGAAACAGGGTCATGGGCCAGCCTTTTAGTCGGCACCGGTCGCGAGGCTTCTGACCGCGGTGAATTGGGGTTTGGCCGCGGCCAGAAACTCGTAACCGCGGTCGAGAGTGTGTTCTCCGCGGTCGTGGCTCCTGGACCCGCGGGGATTGGTCTTTGAGGTTGAATCTTCATTCTGTGCGTGCTTCCTTCGCGAGACTGCAGAACATGTCTTCAGTGCATCAAGGATATCTGGAGATCTAACCATTGGATTGTCTTCAAACCAATTGCATTTGAAAGCTAGTTGTCTCTTTTATATTATGTTCGATTTTGGGGATGATCTGACGGTGGAAAAGTCTTCATCGGATGTGAAACTTATGAGGATCCGAATTTATCCAAAATGGTCTTTTGCTTCAAAATGCACATCTTTTGCCTTAATTACCTGAAAAGAGTCTTGGAACTACAAATACTAGAAAACCATAATTAAAACACTTAAAAGAAATAAAAAACATTTGAAAAGCATTTAAAAACAATCCATAAAAGTTGTCAAAATACGGTGTTATCAAATAACAACTGGGGGAGATTTGTTGCTGTGAATCAAATTGGCCGGTAAATAACTGAACTCCACAATCTGTTCGCATACTCCAAAATCCTACAACACCATCGCGTTTAACTCCTCTAGAGTAGTACTTGATTCCAGCATAACTAACCTACCACGCTTGTCTTTATCATCGGTAAATACCCACCCCTTATTGCTATCAGACCTTCTCCATTCACCAGATGATACATACATATGTAACATGTTTTTGTTAAAGGACAGAGTGAAGAAATTCTGTGGAAGAGAAGAAAAAGTAGAAAAAAACGTGAAGAACCTCAAGAGAAAAAAAAACGTGTATGAAAATTCTGGGCAAGAAAACGTGGGGGAAGAAATGGAAATGAATATTTGGAAATATTCTCTTTGGTGGTTAAGCGCATAAAACCTAGATTTTCTCAGATTCTCTTAAAAACTTCGTAGAATACATTTTCCACATTACGTAGAACAAAGAAAAGTCAGTAGAACACACATTCTAATAAAATGTAAAACGTAGTGAAAAATGTAGAATATATATTCATAAGCTATATAACGATGATGAATCTGTAGAATACTTATTCTATAAGTATCCTAGAATGAAGAAGAACTTATAGAACATCGATTCTAGGTTTCGTAGATTGTAGAAGAATATCTAGAAAACATATTCTATAAAACTGTAGAATGTAGAATACGTTTTCTACATATTGTGGAAAATAATTTTAAAAAAAATAAAACTTTCCATAACTGATTTTTGAGAATTAATTTATTTCTTTATTTGGTATATTGATTTTTTTTAAAAAAAATTAAAAAGTAAATTCGAATTTCTGAAATTAATGTAATACTTAATTAAAGGGTAACTAGATTCTAACCCCGTGTATCCGCACAAGAATTTATTGTTTTTGTATTTCTACTATAACTTGTATTTATTTTTTTGTTTAGATATAATTTATTTTTATTTTTTTTTATTTTTTAAATCAAAATTTTTGTTATTATGTTTTAATTTGTAAATAGTATAGATTGTATATTAGTAGAAGAAAATATGAGTTAATTAAGTATATATCGATCTAATGTTAATTATAAACTTTGTTATTATGTGAATTTATATTTATACATAAACATTTTATATATCTATGAATTGGCTAGCCTGTCTGTTTTGTTGCCTTAAATCAGTTTTTACATGTTTTGACGAACTAATCTATATAAAATTGTAATTATTAATGCATAACCCTAATCTGCTCTATCATATTATTGTATAACATAATATTTACTAATATTAAATAATTTGATATTTTAGACCAATTGATTATGATAAAATATAAAGATATTTATTTACCATTTGTGATATTATAAAAAATGTATATATCTATAAATTGGTTAACTTGTTCGTTTAATTGTCTCAAATCATCTGAATATTTAACATCTTTTAACAAACTATAACCCGTATAGAACCTTCAATATAAATATATAACTTTAATCAGCTCTATCATATTATTGTATAATATAAATATTTATTAATCTTAAATATTTGATATTTTATACTAATTGATTATGATAAAATACAATAAAATATTCGTTTACCATTTGCGCTTTTATGAAAATACTAGATTTTGTATTCACGCTACGCGTGGATAGTTTTTAATGCTATTATATTAAAAAATAATATTTAAACAATTATATTTATTTAGATTTTAATTTGTTGTAATAAAATTTATCAAAAATAATCCAGTTTTAATTTCAAAATTTATATATGGATTTTGAGGTTTTAACGATCTTGTTTGAATTTATATATGTGTCATTTTAAAAACATATTTTTTTGTCGAACGCTTAACATTTTGTATACCAAAACCAACCCAAAATGTAACAAACTAATTAAATAGTACTTAATTAGTATTAACACAAAGATAAAGTACTACACATCACTTATTAGTCAAAAAAATAAATTTATCTTTTCATCTATATGTTTTTTATGAAAAATGATAAAGTTAAAAATTATTCTCTTTTCTTAGCTAGTTTAGTCGATACAAATTTCTGATTTATTTTAAATTAAAAAAACCAAACTAATAAACATAATTTTTTCTCTCATATATTTTAAAACGTAAATAAATATAAAATAAAATTTGAACCTAATTTTAAGTCACAAAGATTGATGAGTTCAATATAAATTTTTTTCAATCTTATCTTAAATTGGTAAATACCAAGCTTTTATCGAGTAACATATTGTGTGTGATAATGGATTTTTATTGACAATTAAGAAAGACAAAAAAATCTCCAAATTTTACTGTATTAATGAGTACAAATTATAATTGATAGCATTGAATTACCTCTCAATAAACTATTAAATTTATTTTTGGTATATCTTAAAATAGATTTCACAAACTTATTGTCACCCTTAAATTATGTTTAAAACACTAATTATCTCCACATATTAATATATGTGTTTTTTTTATGTTGTAGGAAATATTATTTTAATTTGTTTTATAATTTCAACTTGTATAAATATTTTTAAATTCTTCTAATGCTTGTAGGTTAGTATACTAAAAAGATAACTAAAACCTATAACAAAATAATCAATTATTATTTATTAAAAATAGTATTGACACGAAAAAATTAGTATATGTTCTTCTATAATGAAAGAAAAAAATTTATCATCTTTAATTTCATTATTTTTATATCAGGTTTATAAGAAAATCGAAAAATAATGTTAATATTTAGTTTCATTTCTTAATTAATTACATATTATTTTATATCTAAGTAATTGGTATTTTGTCTAAGAAATGTTTTTAATTTTTTATTATTTTAGTTTTTATTGTTAAGGGAAATTATATATATATATATATTTTATTCTTATATATATATATATATTATTAACAATAATATTATTTTTTGAAACTTTCTTAATTTTGATTATTGATATGGATCCATATAATTTCTCTTTTTAATCCTATGTGGACACTCTTAAATGCATTTAGCTTTAATTTTTATTAGTAATATGATTAATTAAATTCAAAATTTTAAATTAAATCTAACTTGTATTTAAAAAATCTAAAGTAATTAAAAGTATTATTTAAATTTTTGTATTAAAAGTAATTCTAAATTTTTTGAATTTTAAATTAAATTAAATCCAAATTTTTATAATTCAATTTAATTATTAAAAATTTGAATAATTTGAAATTTAAATTAAATATGGTCTACAATTAAAAAAAAATCTAAAAATATCTAAATTAATAACTAATTTAAATTCTATTAAATTTAATCTTTGTGAGTGTTTGGACGCAAGCGCTAAAAGTGTTTTTGTTTTATTATAATAGATTAAATTTAAAAGTGATAGATTCCAAAAAGTCTTATAAAGATAATTATTTGCAAAATGTGTCCTAAATTTACAATTCTTTTTTTATTATTGATTAATTCGGAGCATAAAAACATTGACTGAGTTGGCAATGATTGAATTTACCTAGAACCAGAAGGTAATTGCATTGGAGATTTCTTCATGGTCTAGAGAGTCTTATGTTTTTGGCTTTATGAAACGAACAACATAATGTAATCAATGATTCTCTAATGAGGCCGGCCCAGATTCTTTCATTTGGGCTTTTGATAATTTAAAAACCCTAATTTATTTACTCTTAACACCTCTAATTTTTAAGAAATATCCAAATTAACACAATCTTTCAGTTATTGTCTTATTGGCAGTTTGAAGTTCGTTCGCTTCATCGATTTCCCCCAAATTCTCTTAATCGATAAACCCTAAAAACTCTAATCATTTGTTTCTATCTGAATTTACATCGATCTCGGTCTCTATTCCTCGATCTCTGAGTAAAAATGTCGTCCGTTGGAACATCAAAAGGGATTCTAGAGATCGCCAAGTTCGGTTTCTACGTCGCTGTTCCTATCGGCCTCATGTATACATTCGCCAACAACAGCACCAATATCAAGAAATTCATGGGAAATGTAATCTTCTCCTTCTCTCTCGTTTACCCTTTTCATAAATCAGCAATCGTTGATGCTTCGAATTTAAACGAATCTCGTTGGATTTTTGTGCTCTGTTACGGATATAGATTGATGGGTTTTGCTTGAAAATTAGGAATGATAACTCTAGAAATTGGGTTAGCGCATTGCTGAACACAGAGTATGTAGTTTACTACAATGTCAGAAACTTACAAGATACTGGTTTGATCCCCAATGAGTCGTCTTCGTAGTTTCATTTGCTGCATTTGAATAATCTGCAAATTCGTCTTCTCCATCTCTTTCTCATTTACCCTTTTCATAAATCAGCAATCTTTTAGGTTGATGCTTCGAATTCAAACGTATCTCGTTGGATTGTTGTGCTCTGTTACGCATTTAGATTGATGGGTTTTGCTTAATAATTAGTAATTATAACTCTAGAAATTGGGTTAACGCATTGTTGAACACATAGTATATAGGTTAGTCATTGTTTCTTCTTCGTAGTTTCATTTGCTGCATTTGAATAATCTGCAAATAGTAGTTTTTGTAGTGTAAGTTTTGGCTATTTTGTGTGGTTTTGCTCGATGATTAGGAAACTAAATTCGAAAATGGATTACACGCTTTGTTACTTGACTGTTTTGAGTGAGGAAAAACCACACAAAATAGTTTGTCTGCGCTTGAATCATTGAAGAACTTAGAAATATTTAAAACGATCTGATTTGTTCTGGTTTAATGTTCAATATGATTCTACATCAGATGTCTATTTTCTGCTGCATTTGAGATTCTGATAGTTGTCGGGTTTCTCCGGGTCTTCAGAGCACCATATGGTGATTTTGTAGTGCAATAGAAGGATGCATTCACTGATCATGTCTCTAAATTTGGCTACTTTTGTTGTGTAGCGTTCATATGTTGTGTATCCAGAAGAAGCACCTCGACCTCCTTCACCTGAGGAGCTTAGGGAGATGGCACGAGAGCTTGCGCGTAAGAAGAACATTCCGTGAGCTGATGAGACGGAAATATACAGAAGTTTGATGTTCGAGGTTATAGTAAATTGCTCGGCATAGCAACTGATATAATAAGGTAATAATGTTATGTTGTGTTGTTGATTCCTGTAAGATCAAAATGAGATGTACAAGTTAAAGCTATAGTAAGGAAGAAGAAGACGAAGGCGTTTGTTTTGTTAATGAACCTTAGTTACATATTTTGTGTTTATACACAAACACACATCAATGGATGAAGTCTAAAACATTTTCTGATAAAATTTCAGTGCAGAATCAGGGATTCACCATCTCATATCCAAGTGTTTGCATTTTGTTATATGTTATTATCATTAAATGTTAATGGGCCTCGAAATTTCAGCGAGAATTATAATAATTTGGTTCTGAAAATAATATCCATATTCGTTGTATTTCTTTGATTCTGACTTTCTTTTTTGGGTAGGTTCTATATTTAGTTCACAAAAAAAAAATCTTCTCTGAGTTTCTTATGGATAACCTCTGAATCCTATTAATGGGTGTCATCATCTTTTCTTAGCTGTCACAATGTCAGTGCTTTTGCTTTTATTTTTATAACGGGTCATTAGAGAAGTTAATGAAGCTTCTCAGCTTTATAATTACTTTCTTTTTTTCTACTTATATACTTACTAGAATTTTATTGTATACATTCTTAAACAATTTTTTGCAAGCTGTCTGATTTGATAAGGAATTGACTTTAAAGATCTGCACTGTAGAACAGAAAAATTATAAATGTGGGTGTTGTTGCCTACCCAAGCAACACTATTTTATAATTAGCATTTCTTTGTTGCCTGATTTCCCTAAACCAATACGTAATATAAATTCAGTGATCCTTATCTATCTGCTTAGCAGCTTTTCACATTTAATAAAAGTAAAAGAATTTAAACACGTTAGTGAAAAGAAAAAGTTTTTTAAGAAAATAAATAAATCAAAAGTCACATTCTACACCAAAACACAAGAGTGTTGTAAAAAAAGGTCTCTGGTCTAGTAGTAATCTCACGTTTTACGTGATGTTCTATCGTTCTGGATTTAAATCGGAATCTCCTTCAGAAATCATAATACTATTTCAGTAAAGTAAAGAACAAAAAAAAAGGTTACTAGTTTATTTACATATTTACCTTTAGAGGGAAAATAATGAAAAAAAAAAAGGATTATAACAAAAAGAAGTATGTGTTATAACACATATCATATATGGACTCTTATACCGGCCCATTAGGCCCATCAGGGCATTGTACTTAACCTAGATTCCCTATGTACTCTATATATACATTCCAGTGATTAATAAAGTTTCTAAGTTTTCACAACACGTTATCAGCACGATAAGACTCTCTGAGCGAAAAACCCTAATAAATCCGGCCACCACCAAAACCCTAAAAGCAAGTCGAAACTTAAAAGACGCATATCTTCCAAACCATGAGGAACCAGAAGACGGTCTACATATCAAATCGAAGCCCTCGACGAGACGAATCTACTGGTGAAAACCGTTTGTCGATCCAACGTCGGACGCGCCCTCACGCACACTTACAGTACACGACGATCAACCGAAAAAAAAACCAGATCCGAGTTTTTTCTTCTTCAACCAGCAGCTTCTCCAGTTTTGGTGATCAATCCTTGGAATTTGTAGCGGCTAACTGAGGTCTATTAGCTCCCAGTTTCATTAGCCTGTCAGAAATCCAAAGGTGGAAAAGCACACCAGCAAATGGAAACCATAGTCGTAGATAGTGGATCCAGCCACACTATCTTAAGAAACAAAAGTTACTTCATAAACCTAACCTATCAAACCGCAAATATTAGCACCATCGCGGGTCCCTCAAACCTTATCGAAGGATATGGCCATGCCTATGTGTTGCTATCAAATGGCACACAACTTGAAATACCAGATGCTCTATATTCTCCTAGTTCGAAGAGAAATCTTCTGAGCTTCAAGGATATAAGACAGAATGGTTTCCACATAGAAACCCAAGGTCAAGGGAACAAAGAATCCCTCCTAGTCACTAAAACCGTAGACGGCCATAAACAAATCCTCGAAACCATACCCGCGCTCTCTACTGGACTTTACCATGCTAAAGTCAGTATGATTGAAGCTAATACCACTCTCAAAGCCCGGTTTACTGATTATACTATTTGGCACGAAGGCTCGGTCATCCCGGTGCAAATATGATGCGTAAACTAATTCAAAACTCTCAAGGGCATACCCTCAAAGAAAACCGAGCTTATCCTCAACACCTCATGTGCACAGCTTGTTCTCAAGGCAAATTGATCACTCGGCCTTCACCAGTTAAAATCTCTAAACAAACACTTCATTTCCTAGAAAGAATCCAGGGCGATATCTGTGGACCTATACATCCATCTTCCGGACCATTCTGGTACTTCATGGTCCTTATAGACGCATCGACCCGTTGGTCATATGTTTGTCTCTTGTCCTCTCGGAACCAAGCCTTCGCTAGGTTCTTGGCCCAAATCATAAAATTGCGGGCCCATTTCCCTGACTTCCCACTAAAGACTATCCGCCTTGACAATGCTGGTGAATTTACCTTACAAGCGTTTAATGACTACTGTATGGCCATGGGGGTAACCGTGGAACATCCTGTAGCACATGTCCATACTCAAAATGGATTGGCTGAATCATTCATTAAACGCATTCAATGGATAGCCCGACCATTACTCATGAGATCAAAGCTCCCGGCCTCAGCATGGGGACATGCAGTATTACATGCTGCTGAACTCATACGCATCCGGCCATCTAGTGAACACAAATATTCCCCATCCCAACTACTCTCGGGTCATGAGCCAGACATCTCCCATCTCAAAACATTTGGGTGTTCAGTATATGTACCCATTGCTCCACCACATCAAACCAAAATGGGACCTCAAAGAAGGATGGGAATATATGTTGGTTTTGACTCTCCCACCATCATAAGATATCTTGAGCCAACCACTGGAGATCTCTTCAAGGCCAGATATGCGGATTGCCAATTCGATGAATCGGTATATCCCTCTTTAGGTGGTGAGACAAACAAGCTGGTCAAAGATCTTTCATGGAATCAAACATCATTAAATTGGCAAGATCCTCGGACTCTAGAATGTGATTCAGAGATCCAAAAGATTATTCATTATCAAAAGCTAGCTAATCAATTGCCAGATTCCTTTGCTGACCCGACCAAAGTAACCAAATCGTACATCCCAGCTTGTAATGCACCAGTACGAATAGCTGTCCCAACGGGACAGACCCAAGTTGCTACAGAGTCTGCACCACGTCTCAAACGGGGCAGACCTCTCGGTTCCAAAGATAAGAATCCCCGGAAATCAAAGAAAGGTGCAATAACCGAAACCGGGATTCCTGCAATATCAGACATAGCCGCGGCTGAGACTCAATCTAATGAACCCTCAATGGAAGTTCGGGACGCCGAATCTCCAGGTTCAGAAGATAACAATGAGATCTCCATCAATTACAATATGTCCGGAATACAATGGAATCGAAAAGAAGTCGACTTAAATGCACTCTTTGCATACAAAGTAGCACTTGATGTTGCGCTCACGCAAGAGGATCTAGAACCCACGTCAATAACACAGTGTACACATCGAACAGATTGGCTAAAATGGAAAGAAGCCATAAACGTGGAGTTAAAGAGTCTCAAACTCAGAAACGTGTTCGGTCCGATCATCCGGACCCCATCACACATCAAGCCAGTGGGCCACAAATGGGTTTTTGTGCGCAAAAGGAACGAACTCGGTGAAGTCGTTCGATACAAAGCACGGCTTGTAGCACAAGGATTCTCACAGAGACCCGGAATCGATTATGAGGAGACTTATTCTCCAGTGGTGGATGCAACAACATTCCGATTCCTCATAAGTCTGGCCATAAGAGAAAATCTTGATCTGCGGTTAATGGATGTTGTAACCGCATATCTCTATGGGCCCCTGGACAACGAAATATATATGAGACTCCCAGATGGCATTGAACTAAAAGACAAAAATGCATCTCGAGATCAATACTGCATCAGGCTGAACAAATCCTTGTATGGACTGAAACAAAGTGGGCGTATGTGGTACAACCACCTCAGCGATTACCTCATCAAAGAAGGCTACAAAAATGACCCCATCAGTCCATGCATCTTCATCAAGAAGTACTCAAACAAAGGATTTGTAATCATAGCAGTATACGTGGATGATCTAAACATCCTCGGAACATCTGGTGAGATCTCCCAAACAGTCGACTGCTTAAAAGCAGAATTCGAAATGAAAGACCTAGGCAAAACAAAGTACTGTTTGGGATTACAACTTGAGTACATCAAAGGAGGAATCCTTGTGCATCAATCGGCTTATATCGAAAAGGTACTCAAGCGATTTAATATGGACCAAGCTCACCCATTGACCAACCCAATGGTAGTTAGAAGCTTAAGTGATGACCCTCTTGGTCCCAAAAAGGATGATGAAGAAATCCTTGGTCCTGAAAAGCCATACCTCAGTGCTGTAGGAGCGTTAATGTACCTGGCTAGTCACACTAGACCAGACATATGTTTTGCCGTGAACCTCCTCGCTCGATATAGTTCATTTCCAACTCAGAGGCACTGGAACGGTATAAAACATCTCCTAAGATACCTTCGAGGTACTCAAGACTTAGGACTCTTCTATACTAACCAAAATAAAGATGGGTTAGTCGGCTTCGCCGATGCAGGATATCTATCAGATCCGCACACTGCCAAGTCTCAAACTGGCTACGTTTTTACGCATGGAGGAACAGCCATCTCTTGGAGATCAATGAAGCAGACACTCACTGCCACTTCATCAAACCATGCTGAAATCCTAGCCATTCATGAGGCTAGTAGGGAATGTGTCTGGCTGCGCTCCATGACTCAGCACATCCGCAGAGATTGTGGTATGGACGAAGACACACAGCCCACGGTGATGTATGAAGACAACGCGGCATGCATAGCTCAGCTCAAGGAAGGATATATCAAAGGAGATCGGACGAAGCACATTCTACCGAAGTTCTTCTCAACCTCAGACTGGCAGAAGGACGGCACTCTCAGCGTTCAGCAAGTCCGATCCAGTGAGAATTCAGCTGACCTCTTCACCAAATCATTGCCTACTTCAACACACCGGAAGCTCGTCAAACAGATAGGAATGTATAGACTTAGAGATCTGCAGTGATGCTACAATCAGGGAGAGTAATGCGTGTTGTACTCTTTTTCCTTCACCATGGTTTTGTTCCACTGGGTTTTTCCTGGTAAGGTTTTAATGAGGCAACATTCCCCAGCGCATTATCGAGATCTCGATTGAATAGCTGACCCGGTTCACTCGTCCAAGGGGGAGTGTTATAACACATATCATATATGGACTCTTATACCGGCCCATTAGGCCCATCAGGGCATTGTACTTAACCTAGATTCCCTATGTACTCTATATATACATTCCAGTGATTAATAAAGTTTCTAAGTTTTCACAACAGTATGGAAGAAAACAAAAGGAGGAGGACCACATTTCACCAAATATTCGGGGTCTCATGTTAAATGCGGATAAGTCTCTGTATTTATGTGTTCTAAAAATAGAGAAACAGCTAAATATCATAATTCCTCTGCCTTCATTATGTATTTTCATGTAAAAATATCTACGATACCCTAATCTCTACAATATGATCCTATATATGTTCAAGTCATTTTTTACAATATCATAATATTCACTGTATGATCATAAGTATATTTATGTCATAATTTTTTTTTAAGTATTTGGCTACTATAGTAATATATAACTAAAAAAAAAGCTGAGAGGCATGTGAATAACCATATTCAGCCGATGTCAATGCGCCACACAAAGTAACCACACCATCTATTTCGGATATTTGTGTATTTTTGTATATGAGGTCAATAATGTTAGTAAGACTTTAGGCATGTCAATGTAGATAGGTCTCGTTACCATTAGACTCGCCATTTTGCAGGTTGGTCCCAAACATTAACACGCTACGTAATCCTTATCTTTCTTTTCTTTAAATATATATACCCATGTTTTTTATTTTTTTTATAACTTTGCACAATATATTGAAAAATTTCTAGAAGTATTATATTAAATATTAAGTTGGTATAAATTCTCACACTACAATTCTAATATATTTTTTCTTAAAGCACCAGTTATATAATTATAAGAATAATTATTATATGGGTTTATACACAATTGTAAATCTTTTAGTTATGATTAATTACATTCATCTATTTGTGATTAATTAATTATATATATATGTATATATATATATATGTGTGTGTTTAACGCGTAAGTCAACATACTGACCTGTAAATTGCAATTATGAGGGACACATCTTGTGAAATCTGTTTATTGAAAGTTTAATGCAAAACTTTGTTTCTTGCACGCCAAAACTTCAATCTATTGCGAGAAAATGTATTAAATCTGAATAGCGAAGTCAATTTAAACATTTTCTGAAAATTCAACCAATACTCTTACTAATATTCTTGGGAAATCGATTGAAAACTAATTATATTTTTAATGATGTCTAGAATATTTAGAACTATCAATAATGTAGTAATTTATCCACACAAAAAAAGTTAAGAAAATGGTTAGGTAAACTGATTGGGGAGAGAAAGTAATACAAGAGAGTAGACAGTAGCTAAATATTTCAATAGTAAGGAGAGGAATCTCCAAATCCCCAACGACTAATGTAGAAAGTAATACAACAGTAGCTAAATATATAGTGTATATATATATATATATACTATATAAGATATATCTTATAACCAAATCATTATACCATGCATGTGTGAAGAGCTAGGAGGTCCAATATGATGATAACACTAACAGTACCAGTGTACCACAACTCACAACGCAAGAACTCAGGTGATAAATTAAAAAGCAAAGAAACAATAAGAGAAGATAAGAGACGGGTCTCACAACTATTAAAGTGTGATGGTCCTTATGGAGTGGAACTAAATAGACCATGAAAATAGTATATACTTTTTCTGGAGTCGAATTTAATTTGGTTAGCATAATCTCCTTTACATTTATTTTTGTGATGATACTCGTTCAAAGCCAATTAATACTGATGATAATCATACCATATTAAAGAGATTCATTTTTTAAGTCGACAAAGACATTCTAATTAAAAACAGTAAATGTGAAAGGGAAGTTTATTGAACTATAGTATAATATTTAGAACGATAATAATGTTGTTGAAAAATATTATAATTATGTTTTATCTCTATGGCGAAAATGTCTTTTTCTACTCTTAGAAAATGTCAAAACTTGGAGAAAATACCGGAATAGCCAAGAGGTCTCACAGCTTCTGAGATTATTGTAACCGGCCCTATCCACTTCATGCAACCTAAAATTATTGCAATAATATAAAGAGTACTCTAATATAAATAATCCTTATTATTTAAGAACTTGTGTATTTCTTAAAAAATTATTATAAATGTGTGTACAGTGTAATGTGTACTATGACATCAAGAAAAGAATAATAAAAGTCTCATAATGGATTACATGGTGCCCCCACATCAATGATTGCGATGCATAACATCTTGGTATGGTTTAACCGTTTGAAAGAGAATTGATTTTAAATCACAACAACACATCTTTTATGGGAAACAAAGTTAGGTCCATGTAGAAAGTTGGTCTCGACTTCAACTAAATATAAAAGCAAACACAAGTTTTGATTTTTCCAACAAATAGGAAATATAAGAAAATCAAAACTAAATATTTTCATATAAAAGATCAACAAAACATTGCATTTTAATTTTATAAAACAAACTTGTTAAAAAAAACATTTATAGAACAAACCAATGATTTTTATTTAGTTCAATCTAGTTTGATTTACTTTAAGATGATATAACTACTCAAATGTAAAATTAATTGAAATAACATGTAAACATTGATTTTTTCTTTCTTTTCATGCTTTAATAGTTTTGTAAATTTTGTTTGTATATACATAATACATCATAGCTAACCTTTTTTATATATAGATGTAACCAAATCATAAACCAAAATATTTATTTCACTGACATAAGTGGAATAACACGATTACAGGAACAATAAATAATCTGAAAAGTTAATAAAAAGAAAAGAGAAAACAGTAAGAGAATATTACACTGTTGAAACGAACAGCTCTTGCCTCTTGCAATCCACATTATCAAGAAACCACTGGCTTCTTCTTTCTTCTCGAATGCTGCCGTCATCATAAGAAATTATTTAATCTAAATTTTGCAACCTTTATTTTTCTGACATCGATAAATGCTTTGTTTTTTGTTTTAATTCCACTGATAATTTGCTTGCAGTGTTTATGGAAATATGAGCAATTAGAGTTGTCATAAATCGTCTGTTCCTTTAGCGCCAACATATTTTTAAGTGAAGGTCTCAGTGAATTTCCTTAAAACGTTAAAACATTTTCAAGAACCTAAAAAATAAAACATTAACTGCACGTAAAATAAAACATTTTCAAGAACCTAAAAAAAAAAAAAAAACTGCACGTATCTCAGGCGTAAACAAAACACTTGATATTTCGTTTTACTTTCCCGAACGCGTTTAAGTTATCCCAATGTATTAATATAACATCACATAGGAAAAAAATAATAGCCCTTGAAATGTCGGAAAAGAAAGAAAGTAAGATGTCGCAAAAAGAGGAAGATATACTATTGTTATATTTTTATATGCTTTTTACTCTCATTTTTTTTTGTTTTGTTTTCTTTATTTCTGCAGCTTTTCTCAAAATTTTAACTAGAAAATTAAGAAAATTAGAAATCCAAAAACTTTTTTTAGGGATTTTCTTTGAACAGTGAAGCTAATCCCGTGACGACCTTCGCTTCTCTCTCCAACGGCTTTGCCACGTCATCATTCCCGGCAACCAACGGAGGAGGAGAGGAAGAAGAATTCACCGACGACAAAAATTTCTCCTCGAAACTCAGCACAATCTCCGACCTATCTAGCTCCGGTTCAGCCACGGCGGCGGAAGAAACCTGCGGCTCCTGGGCGGAGTTTCGGGTGTACGAAGAAAGCCATTTAGCTCGCATGTAATCAGCTTTCCTCCACGGCGGAAAATGCATCCCCTTCTTCTTCAAGCTCTGCTTGGTCGCCTCCGAGACCATTGAAACGATCTGACAAATCCGGTCAGACTTTCCGACGAAGATGAACGGTAGAGATTGAAGCAGCGACTTGTAAGCATTCGTCTGCCGTGCGATCTCGAACTCCGATCGAAAATCCACGTCGATTAGGAACCTCTCACCGTTCACAATCACATCAATGTACTCATACTCACCTGAAAATTTCCGAAATTCAAAAAAAAAATCAGACGAAACATCATGAGAAATTGAGAATCGAAGAAGAAGAAGAAGGAAACCGGTTTAATGGATAACGTACCGGACGGTATAGACCGAGTTTTATCCCATTTCGATTTACAAATTGAGGAATCGTATCCGAGAGATGAAAGTCCATCGACGACGATCTTCCTCAAATCGACTTTCCTTTTGATTGATTTGTTCTTCTCTACGATCTTCGCAACATCAGCCAACAGATTCCTCTCAGTGACGCTCGCGCATGGAATCAAGCTCTATTCAAAATCCATGGACGATGATGAATTCGTTAAGAGTTATAATAGACCAAAGTTTTAGTTGAGGAAGAAAAAGAGAAGCTGAGTTTATATACCTTGAAATGATCATAAGCGTCGTTGAGAGAATCGACGGAGAAACCGAACAAATCGAATTCGTCGTCGGAGCTATCATCGTTGGTGTTCCCGTTGAAACAATTGCAGCGATTGCGTCCGTTTCTACCTTGTTTCTCGTTGGTTTCCTCCATGTAGTTCTGAACCATCTTTGATAAAGCGACGGAGCTAGGCTCGAACTCAGTTCCGACGCCGTCTTCAGAGGCGGCGGCGTTGAGTGATTTATCCGAGTTTGAGCTTCTCAGAACATTTGTAAACGGCCGATCTAAGAGACGCTTGAGGCGAGATTTGAGCACTGGTTTTCCTGATTCCGCACGAGCTGAGTCTCTACTCGCCGGAAAATCGTTGTTAATCGGCTGGATCTTCATCGGAAAAGGCATTGATTATAGATCTAATCTGATTTCTCGCTCGACGAAGTAAGGAACAAGTCAATTCTCCGTTCAAACAAAGCTAAGCGAAACAAATATATTCAAAAATTCACTCAGAAACTTCCCTAGAATTTAGATCTCTTTCCAGGAAAATTCAAAATCAGAAACTCCACAGCTTCAAAACCTCACAAGAAGAAGAGAAGAAGAAACGAAATCCACTAAAAAACCTCTCAGCTACTAGAAACTACCAAGTAGAAAAACTATACGATCTTCTAAAAAAATTAGTTAGGAAATCGGAGTTTCTTAACGCCGACGATTTTCACGGAAAACATGACGGCGATTGTCGGAAACATCGTTACTAAGAACGGTAAGAGAGGAAAAAGTGACCGGAATACTCATTTTCCCGGCGATATTTAATTCGCCGGAGATTGATTTAAGGTTTTGAGAAAAAACTAAGAGGTAAATTGTCTATTTGAAAACGCAATTCTCAATTTTTTTTTTTTTGTTTCCTTCATCTGGTTGGAGTAAAGCGAGATTGGTTGATTATATAGGTGCAGAGATTAGAACGAAGCTGAAGAGGCCAAAGAAGAAAATGGTGACTAGACAAGATGATGCCACGTCATAAATTAATACGTGATATTGTTTTTGGTTTTGACAAATTACATTACGTGATATCAGAAATGACCGTTTAACTCTCTTAGTGGGACGGTGTGGTTACTGTTTTGTTACTGATCATAGTAATTGTGGTTGATCCTTTTTACGGTAAACTGTCAGTAAGTAAATTGTAATGATGAAAATTTACGATTTTGTCTTCGCGAGTTGGGATTTTCGGAAAACTTATTTCTTTTTTTTTTGTTTTGTTTTATATTATTAATTACAGAGATTTAATATAATTACAGCTATTTTGCAGGAAAAATATGACATTGTGCCAATATGAGCACACCACGTAGCACAAAATCCATCTTTTACTACTCTATTCTTGAACTGCTATTAGGGCATCAGCAACGCAGAGACGGGTCGCGTTTTTACGAGAAACAAAATAATAAAATAGTTGGGCCGCGTCTCTATTTGGCCCGAGACGTTTCTTATTTCGGGACAATTGAAGACGTCTCTCGGGACAGGTGGCAGCTGTTAATTGGGTCACGAAATTGGGGGAAAAAAAAACCTAGTTGCTCGAAACTCATTTTCCCCGACCCTTCTTTCTTTCACTCGTGTTTTCCTCTCCGACGAATACGCGAGATCGTTGGTGCTGCATGTCCGATCGATCGATTTCTGATGACTAGCGACGTTTGTCCGGACCATCTCCGATATCGGCGACAACTCGAGAAGGAAAAGGTACAGATAAGTTGAACAAACCCTAAAACTCCTCTGTTAGTGTTTCTTCTTTGGTCGATTCTTTGGTTGTTTTTTCGTTTTATTTCTAAATCGAGGACATTGCGATGTTTTAGGGTTAGATTCAGATGTGCGTTGATTAGATAGTTCATATATGTGATGATTTGCGATGAAACCCTAATTTGAAATTTGGGGGTTTTCGTTATTCTAAAAAATTTCATGTTTAGATCGTAATTTCGGGTACATTAGCTTGCAGTATGTCCTATTTGAACTGGAAATATTCATTTGATGCACGAATTGGTTGATTATCTCTTTGATCCATAAATTGCGAGCAAACCCTAGTTACTGAAAATTGGGGCTTTTGTCTTATGATGAAATATATTTGTTTTGGTCGCTTTTTCTTGTTAATTATAGTGTCTGTGAAGAAGAAATCTGTGGTTTGTGGTCATTTTGATGTTGAGTGATTCATCGTTGCCATGTCCATTTCAGCTTAGAGTTTAGGGTTTGATATGTTTGACTTGTTTGTGGGCTTCGATTTGTGCTTTCGATGTGTTTCTTTGACCAAATAGACTCTATGTGAAGAAGATATGTTTAGCTAGTTTGTGGGTTATATGTCCATTTGATCTTTGACTACGATGAAGCAATCTACAGGGTTTAGTGGGCTTAAAATGTGGTTTTCATCTGTGTGTTTCGGGTTTTGGATTCTGTACTTTTATGTTTAGTTTTTGTGATTGATTAAACCGTTTTATTTCATGTTATTTACAGACAAATGCCGATAAGCTATACCAACAGCTCATCGTCCAAAGCAAGCTTTGATAGCGGATGTGCAAAGGCTGATGGGGACTTCGGGATTCCTGAACGATGCTACTGTGGGCTTCGTGTTAGGCTTGAAGAGTCTACAGCTCCAGCAACATTTGGGAGGAAGTTTTATTGTTGTCCTGAAAGATTGGGCGAGGTAAGATGTTATATGTTTTCATTTAATGTATACTTATATTCTAAGAAAGTCAGTAACAGGTTTAGTCTTCAACTATGTAATCTGTAGGATAAGCCCGATCACATCTGCAAATGGTGGGATGAAGCCATTGAAGAGCAGCTGACCATTCTCCAAATTCGCATTGACAAGCAGAGTTCAATGATGTTTAGTGACAACAGAACAGCCCTGCTTCAGTCCTATGAGAATCAGCTCTACGCTTTGGAGGATCGCATTACCTTAGTCGAGAAGACTGTTGCCGAGATCGAGGAGTTCATTGGGTACATTCAGAGTGAGTTTGCTGGTGCGAAAGAAACACTTGAGCATCGAGGTTCTGATTTGCTCCTTGCTGTATTTTTAGTTATCTTTGCTGTTTTCACTTGTGTTTTCATGCGATGGGATTTAGCATATTGACATTCCAGTTGTTTAGGCTGATCACTGATTGTCTTACGTATTCTGACTTTGTTGACTATGATGGTTTAGTTAAATGAATGTTTGCTATCAGAGTACTGTGTTGTTTGTATTGGTGTTTGGAAATCTATGTTTCGTTTGTCTCTTATATCAAAGTGTAGGCTATGAGTTCGAATGAGAGGATCCTAGCCATGTTTTGGGATTACTGAAGGAGGTAAGTTGTTGTTCTCTTTATCTTCTCTTTATCTTCTATATTTGCTGTTCTATAATAGTCGCTCACACTTTTTTTTTGGTTTCATATCAGGTGACCGTGTGATACTATTGGTTCGGGTAACTGGAAGGTGGATAAACAAGATACTCTTCTCCGACTTCATTTGTAACGGTAAGTTTGAATTTAGTTTACTCTTCTGGTTGTTGTCATTAGTGATTGGAAAGAAATGGGTTTGGCTATTAGGTTGTCATAAATGCTGATTAGATTTTGGAATTAAAGTCATATAATGGTGTTCATTGCCTTTTAGGTTTGTGTCATGTCGAACTTGAGTGATATTTTGGTAGGTGATTTAGTTTTAATTTCCTTTACTGTTGTCATTAACTCACCACTTCTAAACCCTATTTATCAGCCTCTTTGGTAGCCTCTTCCATCTCTCTTCCAAGTCTCTTTCACTCATTCAGCCTCTTTCATCTCTGTTCCTATCCATTTTCGCCTCTTTCATCCTCTTTCAGCCTCTTTCAGCCTCTTTCATCTCTGTTCCAAGCCTCTTTATCAGCCTCTTTTGTATACTCTAAACTCTTTAAAATGGATTCATATCCATTTTCGCAACCGGCTAACTTTGTTGACCTACTTAATAGTCAACAAGAGCCACCTTACAATGATGGCTTTCCCTCAGTGGAGCAACTCCCTGTCTTCAGCACTCAACCCGCTTCCAATTTGCACATGTATATTTATGTCTGAATGGCTATTTCATGTATGATGTTTCAGGGAATATTTGGGAAGCGTATGCAAACAGCAATGCTGAGTCAGGGATGCGTTGGACTCAACTATTTTCTGACTCAGGGAATCGTTTGAGTGGACAATAAAGCAGTCCACTATATGTCTTTTAGTACTCTTTTGTTGTAGACCACAAATGAATTGTAATTTTTTTTTTGAATCAATTGAGTGTAACCGAGACAATGCTATAAAGAATTGTCTATAAATTGTGAGGGAAACCATTCATCAAGTTAGGAAAACACCACCCTCATAGTTCTTGCTTTCTCCTTCTATTCTACGTTTTCCAAGTTTGTCCTTCTATTCTACTTCTTCCAAGTGTATTTTTTTACAACTCATTCACCAAAACCCTTTTTTAACATATTTTATAACCGGTCAATTGGAGTATGATGGCATCATCATCAAATAACCCTAATGATAACACAGAAGATAACCAAAACGATGGTTATGGTGAGCAAAATATGGAGATGGGCAACTATATGGGCAAAAGGTTCGAGCAATATTTTCAGCAATCTTTCCAAAATATGTTCAACAGTTATGGAGAGGATCAAGAGTCAAGCAGACCTAAACAAAGAAGGGCTTATGTTGAAAGAGATCGTCAGGAAGGCCACAATCGTCTGTGGAACGATTATTTCAGTGATATTCCTACATATCCTACAACTTATTTCAGACGGAGGTTTAGGATGAACAAGTCTTTGTTTGTCCGTATTGTCGAAAAACTTTCCAATGAGGTTAGATTCTTTCGTCAGAAGAGAGATGCTTTGGGGAAACCAGGACTCTCCGCACTACAGAAGTGTACAGCTGCAATCCGTCTCTTGGCGTATGGTGCTGCAGCTGATACGGTCGATGAGTATCTTAGGCTTGGTGAAACAACAGCTCGGTCATGCTTGGAAAATTTTGTTGATTCAATAATCACTTTGTACGGGGATGAGTATCTGCGGAGACCAACACAGGAGGATCTAAACCGTTTGCTATACGTTGGAGAAGAACACGGATTCCCGGGAATGATAGGAAGCATAGACTGCATGCATTGGGAGTGGAAGAACTGTCCAACCGCTTGGAAAGGACAATATACTCGTGGGACAGGGAAACCAACTATTGTTTTAGAGGCCGTCGCTTCATATGACCTATGGATTTGGCATGCCTTTTTTGGATCTCCAGGTACACTAAACGATATAAATGTTCTAGACCGTTCACCTGTATTTGATGATATCTTACAAGGTAGAGCCCAGGAAGTAAATTTTTCTGTCAACGGAAGACATTACAATCTGGCATACTATCTCACCGATGGTATATATCCAAATTGGGCAGCGTTCATAAAATCAATTCCACTTCCACAAGGTGAGAAAGCTACTTTATTTGCTGAGCGTCAGGAATCCGTTCGAAAAGATGTCGAACGTGCTTTTGGAGTCTTGCAATCTCGGTTTGCAATTGTTAAAAACCCAGCTCTTTTCTGGGATAAAGCTAAAATAGGCAAAATTATCCGAGCTTGTATCATCCTCCATAATATGATAGTTGAAGACGAGAGAGATGCACGCATGCAATATAATTTTTCAGAATTTCAACAAGGAGAAGGAACTAGTAGTTCACAAGAAGCTCAGTCGTACTCAACAACTATGGCAACAAATATTCGAAATCTGATGGATAATCGGTTGAGAGTTCGTGATAAAAAAATACATGATCGGTTACAAGCAGATTTGTTGGAGCATATCTGGCAAAAATTTGGATTCACTCAAAATATTACTTAAGTTTTTCATTAAATTTGTATGTTTTATGTTTATTTTCCCTATTTCAAGGTATTACA